ATCAGATTAGATTTTGATGGCCGCTTGTACAGCTGTCTCAGTTGTCGGCTCGCGGGACCTGGGATCTGAATCTTAACGGAACAGGGGGGGGGGGGGGGGGCAGCGCGCCACTGACCCCACCACTAGCCCTCAGGGCAGGGCCGAACACAGCCAGCACCTGGCCGGCTTTAGCTGGGCCATCGCTTTAACGACCGTGTAACGCGTTGCATCATGAGACGTGACGTAGTTTCCGTCACGAAGCGGTCGGCAAACGTCCGTTCACAAGTCGTCACAGCGCGCGCCAATGCTTCTCCCGCCCTGCTGCGCGCGGTCATGGCCCGGATCACACCCGACGCCGCTGCTTCAGGGATCTCCGCTGAGCAGGGCCGACCTCAGAGCGGTGAACGTCAACCTCTGCGACATGTGCGTCATCTTGTCGGCCAAGGTGAGAGGGCAGACCCTGCCGGCACCGGACCACAGAGTCAGGACAGCCCGGCCGGCTCAGCGCGCATTGCGACTTGCTGGTATCTGCACTGGGCTGAGTATGCACCTGCATTTATGCCGATCGAACTTAGCTGAGCCGATCTAGTTAAGTTGGTGTGATCTGGGATGCTCGTTCCACATATCTGGAACGCCCCGCATTTGTAGATATTGAAGCAAACATCAGATGTGATGAAATAAGCTCACTTATGACTATGGATACATTTTCAAGTGGCGAAGACTCCTCTAGACAGCGCAATTTTATGTTTGGCAAATATGCTCCTCAGTATATCATTAGTTGATTGCGTCATCGCACCTTGCACAACACTGAATGAGTGTCAATGGACGGCCGTTATACCAGGAAGTTGCTCTCACGAACGTCAGATATGAACGACTCGATAATTATGCTTTCTTAGCCCTGATCGCCGCGTGCCCAGTGGAATCACAGGATTAGAATGACGTAATGATGATATCATGGATGCCTAGGGGATCTTGAAATAGTCTGCACGAAGTAGTCTGTACATCTGGGGTGCATGGCTCAGACTCTAGAGAGTTTTAGGTCTTAACAAGGCCAGGGCTGTGAACTGCACCAAATGATCCTCAATATGGCTATTTCAGTTAAAACCTCCATACAAATGTAGAACACTCTTTAACCGGCGACGCTATTTCTTCTCTGAATAAACTGATCTGTTCTCTTGGCCAAGTATACTGCCGTGAACTGATTTTCCATCAATTCAGACCAAGAGAATCCATCGTTCTGATGCTGCTGATGCTGAAATTGAACGTCGATTGATTGAATTGAATTGAACGATTCTGAAATTCGACGTCGATTTGCCTGTGGATCGCCACGCACGCCTGTGCAAACATTGTGCCGTGTCCGGCGCAACGTCACGTCACGTCATGCTGACGTCACACCCGCCTGACCTGAGCCACCGCCGGGAGCTGACCTCCGCTGACCTCCGCTGACCTCTGCTGACCTTGGCCAGGTGCCAGGTCATGACGACCCGACTCTGGCGGATAAGGAGGCCATCCTCGCCTCCCTCAACATCAAGGCCATGACGTTTGATGACACGATTGGTGTCTTCAGTCAGAGTAAGTGGCGCCGGGGGGGGGGGGGGGAGGGAGGGGGGGGGGCACCTGGACGGCTTGTCGCGCTCGCCTCTGAACACGCATCGGAAGCCTGCTCTCCGAGGAAGTTATGTGAAGCCAGCACGCGGCTAGGCTGTTTCATAGCAGTTGTCAATTTTAGTCGTAAATACGTGCCATTTTTCGGGAGATAGACTAAGCAATGTAAATTGAGCATTGAAGGCTGAGCATTGTAAATGAAATACGCCCCAAATCACCCGTATAGCTACCTTGCATCCGACAGGAATAACAACTATTTGTGCCGCTCGTCGACGCTTAAGCGCTTGTCAATCCCCTTCTGTCCGGTCTGCCGTGCCAAATGGTTGGCAGCTTGCCAAAAGGTCCAGCTCCACATGCTTGGATGGTGAGGAGCACGGTCCGCAGGACAGCCCACTCGAGTCGGAACTTTCCGCGGCAGTGCTTCTCAGTTGATAATTGATCCCTTATTTGGCACACACCCCAATCATGATGTTACGCTTCAGCTGGCCTGCTGGGCTGGTCAAATGCCGGCAGCAGGGCTCCCCTATCCTGGCTCTATGATCTGAATAAAATAACATGTTATGCACCCTAAATGCTAAACCTGGGCCATTCTGTTCGTTTCTGTTGGTTTCCTTGCTTGCGTGCCGCTGTGTTCACTGGTGACGTGTGATTGGTTGTACCGCCAGATTCACCTGCGCCGTCTTTGTGATCTGTGTCTCACTGCACTGCAAGACCCGAGCTGTTTCCTCCAGTGACCTGTGTCTGACTGTGACCTGTGTCTGACTGTGAGTGTGTCTAACGGTGACCTGTGTCCGCCCGCACCACCAGGTCCGAGTGGCAGTCGGACGCCGCCGAGCAGTCCTCTCGTCGTTCAGCGGCGTGGCTCCGTGTTCGGCGTTAACGTCCCCATGATCACTGAGCTTGTCAACGACTCCAACGTCCAGGTCGGCAGTCCGAGGGCGCCAGGCCGCGTGAATAACATGTGGCCGTCAAGTGACGGGATCTCTGTGTCGAATGGGCGCACCATTGTTAGGGCAACAAGCGTCAGCCCTGTGTAGGGACGTGACTGGGTGGGTGGCACTTTACTTTCATGATTTCATGATACATGATTTCATGATTTCATGATACATGATTTCATGATTTCATGATACTGTTCACAACATGCAGGCACACTTAAACACAGAACGCAGGTTAAATCGTTGGAATTGGTATGCTGCCGTCACCGCACATACTAGACGATCTCACGCACTGTAGGACCGAGGAGAGTTTGGGCATGGTAGCTTGTGGGCCGAAAGCCTTGTTGTAGACCCGTGGGAGAGGGATGACCCCCTCTTGAAGGGGGGCGCCCCTCTCATAGGGGGGGGGGGGCGCTCACCCATTCCGAAGGGGGGGGGGGGGTTTGACGCCGCCAGGATGCCGCTGCGGTCAAACCGACAGGCGCAAAGTATTTGTTGAGTCGACAAAAGAGCTTAGTTGCTCGTTTGCTGCTCTGTCAGGCCTCAGTTGTCGCTTCTTGCCGTCCAAAGTAGCGCCAAAGTAGCGCCTTTCTTGCCCTTCGCTATGCCACCTGACCCTTGGTACGCGGGACTTGATCGTGTTACTGCGACCTCCCTTCTGCCGAATAAGGTGTAGCGTCAGTGTCAGTGTCAGTGACACCCATACCTCCAACGTCAGCTACGGGTCTGGCGAGGGATGCAGTCGCCGCTCCCGCCGGCGCCTTGACCGTGGCCTGCCGCTCCGCCGCAGTTTCTGGACCAGGACGACGACGATGACCCGGACACGGAGCTGTACCTGACCCAGCCTTTCGCCTGCGGCACCGCCTTCGCCGTCAGCGTGCTGGACTCGCTCATGTCCACGGTACGGCCGCCGTGACCCTCGTGACCCGGCTGTCGTGACCTCGTGCACCTTGTGACCCTCTGGCCGCCGTGACTCTTGTGACCTCCGACCGACGTGACGTCGTGACCCCCGTAATCCTCCGGTCGCCGTGACCTCGGGACCCTTGTGACCCTCCGGCACCCTGACCTCGTTGCGGCCGCAGTGGTGGGCCACTGAGGGCACGACGCGTTCCGCGTTTGACCCCAGCATGTTGGGCTGTTGAGGCTGTGGAATTAACCCTCTTGAGCCATTTTCTCAACCTGCGACCCTGTGTCCCACTATTCACAGACTGTCAGCTCTTGACCCTCACTATGCGGATTTTCCTGTGACCCTTACTCTCCGGGTTTTCCTGTGACTCTAATTCTGCGCGTTTTCCTGTAACCCTCATCCTGTGGGTTTTCCTCTTCCACGTTACGTACACATCGTTCCCCTGGAATGCATCAGGTTCCCATTGACACTGTGGGAAGAATCTCGTCAGCGTTAGGCTTTCTGATTTATTCCAAGCAGCTGTGTCTACCTTCGTCGACTTTCAAAAGTGCCAAGCTAAAGTGATTGCCAAGTACGATAGCCAAGTACATAGCGCCTACCCCAAGTACGTGGCGTAGATGCTAACTCCATTTGCGCAGCCCGAAAGATGCTAGATTCTCGCTTGCGTTTCAGTTGCAGTGTTCCCTGTGGTGTTAATGTTCATGTGGGTCGTGCTCATGTCCTGCTGAGTTAAGAACTCACTGTTCCTGCGACTTACGAAGATCTCATGTTAAAGTGTGATGGCTCGTGACTTAAAACCCATTTGTATGGGATTTTGCGCTTATCTGGAATGCTTCTGCTCTCCGAAACTCGAAACGTAGCGTTGTTTTCAGTCATCGTCGTTGTCTTGGCCCAATATGTGGGTACGTCGCGTTGCTGCTAATATGGCATTCGCCAGACCTTTTTAGCACACTGCGTCTGGCATGCCTGAAGACATCGTACTGAGAACGAAGACGCACAACCGCACACCGATCATTATGTTTTGGACATCTGAAACGAACCATAACGTACAGCGAGCTTCAGCTCCAAGCCATGTTCGGGATGTCAGCTTCTCGGACCAGCCGCAGTGAGGGCCGCCATCTGCGGGTTGTCAGCTTCTCGGACCAGCCGCAGTGACGGCCGCCATCTGCGGGTTGTCAGCTTCTCGGACCAGCCGCGGTGAGGGCCGCCAGCTTCTCGGAACAGCCGCAGTGAGGGCCGCTACCTGCGGGTTGTGAGCTTCTCGGACCAGCCGCAGTGAGGGCCGCCATCTGCGGGTTGTGAGCTTCTCGGACCAGCCGCAGTGAGGGCCGCTATGCTGCGTTTCAGACGTACTTTAACCAGAATGCGCTGACGCTGATCCGGTCCCTGATCACCGGCGGCGCCACACCGGAGCTGGAGCTGATCCTGGCGGAGGGCGCCGGCCTGAGAGGCGGCTACAGGTCGGTCACAGGGAGCCGTGCCGGTCAGCACAGGCCGCCGGGGTCGCCGTGATGGGTGGGAGGGCGGTGACATCGCGGGAGGCTGCTGATCACGGGATCACTGTGATGTGGATGACTGACGGAGGACATTGTGTAATGCAGGTTGACCCGTGATTTGACATTCACACATTCTCCACCTGGACAAACGTCTTGCTTCCATGCCTAATTAGGAAAGTTGTAAATCGTGGTAGGCTTTGTGGCAGTCAACTAATAAAACGTTTAGAGCAGTTATCTGCATGATAATTGTTGCATGACTGTTATTGTGCTACAGATAGAACCATGTAGTTACTATACTTCATTTCAGTAGTCAGTGAGTGCATTTGAATGTAACACGATGTTATTTCATATTTTTCACTTCAGAGTTCAATTTAAGCTAGAATTTTATAATGCCTCGTAGAATCCGATATTTTTTTGGTGTGAATGCTCTGTTCTCAAAGCCATCTTTAAACGTCAAACAGAAACCGCCACTTTGCCAAAAATATCCCCTTTAAACGCCGTGTGCTTTTGCTAGCCGCACATTGCGTGTCTGCAAACCCAAAGTGGTAGTTCTGGTACTTCTCCTTGGTGTTGTTGGGCACACGATGAGTCCCTCTATTTTACGCCACGGTCGGCAGGTGCGGTCAACGGATTAAAAAAAAAAAAAATCCGCCATCATGAATGTGGCAAAAACAGACCATCAGCTGCGACGGAAGAGCGTCAAAACTGATGGTTGACATCATTGTCAGACAACTGAAAGGCTGGAACATGTATTCCGGCGTATGTGCCGTGGAAGACACAAGCCGAATCTCTACCAATTCTTGCGTTGTGTCCCAATGTCCTCACCGGGCTCCACCGTTTCACTGGCAGCTTTGGGAATCCGGCAGGTTTGAGTCAGTATGTCGTAAGTCTTCAGGCCAATGATTCAGTCTGACGCCCTTTCCCAGCTGAGCAGCGCTAGCAATGTTGCTGTGCCAGCTGTATGCGCCAACGCTGGCCGGTGCGGTAGTTTCAGGGGCATTGCACGTAGTAGCTCCCGAGAACACCTCCTCGTATCAAATTGAAAGTTATTAATTTACACTTGACCAAATCTTGGCAGTTAAAAACTCCAGGTTGACACGCACAGATATGATCGATGTTCGATGCAATGAACATGGTGGAACAGGCGATGTTCTTTGCAAGAAGAAATAAATTGCGCGAGTGTACGCCCAGTGTTTTTTGTCCAGTTTTTTCAGTTTTTTGTGGAAAATCATGAATGTGCCCATGCCATTGTGAAGTCGTGTGTACGTCCCTAGATAGTATGCGATGCATCGTCAGGGATGGCAGGTGTTTGGAATGGTGACAGGTGTTTGGACTGATTCAAACGCCACGAATCATACATATGCTCTTCTTGGTGACACTCCAATGTCGGTTTCGAAAAGGGCACTGGAAAACCGCCGTTAGGGGGCAGATTAATGGATTGCTGTTATTGACTGCTTTGCGTTCCACTAGGGCCGTGCCGGTGCTTCAGCAACTATTTACGCAAAACATTTGTTATGAAACGCGGTGAAATGAAGCAACGCATTCTCGACACGCACCTATATATATATATATATATATATATATATATATATATATATATATATTATATATATATATCTATAATGTGTGTGTGTGTGTGTGTGTGTGTGGTGTGTGTGTTGTGTGTATGTGTGCGTACCTCTTGATCCATGTGCGGGCTAGTCTCGGTGGACGGACCCCAGGTGCGCGCAACGCCGTCCTTCAGTTACCTTTCTCCTTCATTGCATAGCCCTGAAATGGGTGATGACTGGTCGAAAAAGCTTCGACCCAAGCCAACAAAGCCAATGCTAACTGCCCTCGCACGCGCCCCCTACCCAGCAGCTCTTGTGGACTTCTCGTAGCCTTGCAGTGTCGGCTGTTTGGCTTTGCTCGCGAGTCCGGCGGGGAGTTATTAGTCCACCTTTCTGCCGGACAGCAACGGCCGACACGCTTGACGAACCGGGACCGATGCCGCGTGGGGCAGATCAGCCTGTGCGACGGGCCCCTGGCACACTTCGGCGAGGGAGGCCAGTATGGCGACCTGTTCGCCGCCTCTCTGCAGCAGTACGGCATGCTCTGCATCGGCCTCTACAGTGTGAGGAGAGAGAGGGAGGAGAGAGAGAAGAGAGAGAGAGAGATGAGAGAGAGAGGGAGAGAGAGAGAGAGAGAGAGAGAGGAGAGAGGAGAGGAGCGAGAAGAGAGAGAGAGATGGGAGAGAAGAGAGAAGAGAGAGGAGAGAGAGAGAGAGAGAGAGAGAGAGAGATGAGAGATTCGGAGCCGAAGCCGGAGCCTGCCGTCCGGTTGCTCCATGACGGACTTGCGTGATGATGTGTGCCGCACAATGACGCAATTTTGCGTTAAATTCAAACGTAACTTGATAACGTGACGTTCTCTGTCATTTCACAAACACTTCGTTGACCCGGTTATTTTACTGATACGTTTATTGTATCCTAAAACCCGGGAAACGCAAAATATGCTGGACGCCGTTGGTAAGTAGAGGCAGTTTTTTGGTTTGGAAAGAGATAGTTTTTCGAGAAAAAACTTCATAAGCTCCCACCTCTGCATTCCTGGCCGTCTCCCCCGCGGCCGGCGGTGGTTGACCTTGGTGTGACCTGCTGACCGTTTGACCTGCCTGCTGTGACCTGCCGACCGTTTGGCGCAGATTCCGTGACACGAACAGCTCGCCGGACGCGTCCACCAAGCGATACGTCATCACGAATCCGCCCGGTGACTTTGCCATCCTCCCCACCGACCAGGTGCGTTGGCTTTGGGCCGGGAGAAGGAGTTTACATGCGGTGTTTAGTGTCTAACACGGTGTCTAGTGTTTGATGCAGTGTCTACTGTTTAACTCGGCGCCTAGTGTCTTACAGAGTATATGGTGTCCAGCACGATATCTAATGGCTAACATGGTGTCCAGTGTCTAACATGGCATCTAGTATCTAACATAGTGCCTAGCGTCTAGCACGGTGTCAAGTGTCTAACACGGTGTCTAATGTCTAACAAAGTGTCTATTGGCGTATCTAACAGAAATACTCGTACGAAAATACAGTAGTGAATGTAACAATAGCAGTTCCAGAAATCCACCGTCTGATAATGTGACTCACGGCCCACTCGGCTCGCCGGATACTCATTGTGGGTAGTTTGACTCAACACGGCTCGCAAGATTCTCTGTCCATTCGGGAGCTGTTTGAAGCCATCTGGGCTGCGTGCGTTGGTGTCCGAAACGAGGGCTTGGTGGGGCTGAGACTTACGGACAGTCTAACAAAGGTCCAACGGTGCTAATTGCAAGCGAGTGGGGATGAACGGGCTGCAGTTTCTCCAAACTCCAAGACCGACCACTGAAGTGGTTTCTCGGCTGTGGTGTCATCGTTAATGCATCCTGTGTGTATGCCGCGTGTTTCTTACTCAGCGGTGTCCGAGCATCTGCCGAGGCTTGAAACGTTCGTTAAAGCTGTTCGTAACATACAGCTCCGCTTTTACTTTTTGGAGCTTTTCGGATCATATTTATACCATGATATTTACAGGGCAGATAGCAATGTTTAATCGGGTATGCATGTTTTCACTAAGGTGGTTTTTGGAAAAACCTAGAGATTTTTAATGATTTAAACCACAAATGTATCGTGATTAATACAAGTGAATCTTTAATCGAGTCATAACCCCGTTGTCAACGTGTGTATCCATCCCCCAACCCCATCCTCCTCTTCCACTCCCCTCCCCACTGACAGTCGGTGGCGCCCTTTGGCCAGGTCTTCGCTCTCCACTCATTCAGCGGGGCTGCCTTATCATACTATTGACAGTCGGTGGCGCTGTTCCATCTGGTGGTCGTGAGTAAAAAACAGCCTTCCAAGTGGGCAACGCTGGGCGATCTGCCGTGCTTTTGCTTCAAACCGTTGCTCCCTTGCTGGACCATCAAGCCGACAGATCCGCTGCCTCTTGTGACCGTTGAAAGTTTGAAACATTCGAAAGTCTGAAAGTTTGGAAACTGCGAAGGATTTGAGAGTTTGAAACTTTTGAAAGTTTGAAACTAGAGCCACAACTTTCTCCAAAATATCAGCCCGCAGCCCAGCCTGCCCCGCCTAGCTAGTCACTAGCTCGCAAAATCCCGCTATGCTGCAATGCTGCTTCACAATTAACCCGCGATAACTAATTTGTTGCAGTATGCATTCTATCGTTTCACCTTACTTTAAGACCTGTACATTCAAGTGTGCATACAATGAAGCGCAGGTGTCATCAATGCATAACATTGTTCGGCTAACATCGGCGATGTTGTTCAGAGTGCAGCCGTCTCAGTACCTGCACAATGGAATTTTGAACGCACCAAAGCAGATATTAGGCAGGGTAAAGGAGTTTTTCAACCACAAATGAGAGATAAGAGGGTAGAAATTAAATTGCACGAAAATGCTCCAAAGAAATTGTCACTCTACCTAAAATCAACAAACCACAGACCATTAAAAAAGGAGCATGTATCAATAGATAAATTTGCTCCTTGCAATAATGAGTAAAATATGCTGGATGCTTCAATTCACTGAGGGTGTCAGATCATTACTCATAATAAATAACAACTCAGTGCATAAACTCATTCATTATTTGACTGCATCACAATAGCCATGATGATGCTTGCCAAATGAAATCTCATTGAAGAACCAGAGCCCTACATATCGTTTGCTGTTCTTAGGTGGATGCATTATGCAACCACATCTCATAAAACCCACGTAATAACTTTGAAATTATTCACATTTCTCTCTCACTACCGTCCACGCCCCATCACACAACCATTGCCGCGCCGCTTGATACGGCATGAAAGTAAGGATAGCAGTAATATGTTGTCCACGAATATTTGTTCATCTAGTGACGTCATTCACCTTCAACGATGCCATCAAAACCGTGACAGATTGCTGCATACTGCAGAAAAACTTTACGAAAACCAAAAACAAACTGTAGAAAATGTTTACAAAAACTCTTACAGTTATCAAGGCTTCTGGACTGCATCTTTTGATCTTCATCAAATGCCTCATCGACATCATATGTTGAAATTTGTTCTCAAAAACTATCTGCGGCTACCAATTGTGGAAAAAGCTCACAAATCAAACAGGACGCAATCCGTCGTAGAAAACACTTTGAAAAATAGTCACAATCGTAGTAAGGAAATCCGTGTTGTGTAATTGCCCTGACACTGTGGTCGCAAATTGCATTTTCTTCAGACATAGATAGACTAGTTCTATGCCACCACTTCAACTTTGGACAACTGTTGCGCATTTTATACGCCAATAACTGCTGGCTGTATTGACATGTGAGGGGAGCTAGGGCAATGAAAGGCTCGCAGCCTCCCATGAGTTTAATTAATTTTATTAAGTGATTGCGATTTATGAGGCATGGTTTTGTGCAAACCGAGAAAGGCTCGGTGCTCCACACCCTCACAACAGCAACCAAGTGCAGCGCAAAGTTGTATTTATAAACATGACCGCGTAGCTGCTGCTTAATGAAACCAGGCCCTAGTTTTCAGAAATTGGGTTGTTTTTCTCAAATGTTCCAGTAAGATGATTGCTTAAAGCTGTTTAATTTATGTTATCTGGTATTCTGGTGTCTCATGTCCACGACAGGTTTTCTGTCACCGATGCTCGTCCTGTAAAAATATGTTTGTTTCATGACTGCTTTGCATTTAGCAGCATAATCTGGCTTTGGAGAGATTCAAAATTTACGGAATAGCGAAAAGAATACATTATTTTGCCTGAGAAAAGTTTGACCCGGAAAAGCCCAAAAGGTCTTGCCCACGACCCAGCCAGAAGCCCACGGTTTCATGCAGATCAAAAATTGTCGGGCTGGCGGGCTAAAAATTGTGTCTTTATTTGAAATACTGCAGCGTTTAAAGCTTCTGAAAGCTTGAAAGTTTAAACAGTTTGAAAGCTTTGAAA